AGCCTGCCCCCAGGCCAGCTGTCAGCACACAGCCCCTCTCCCTCCCTGAGTCCAGAGTCCCCAGCCACTCCATCTCTCCATGTCATGTCTCTGCCTCCATCTCTGGCGTCACTGCTTCTCTGGGTAGGGTCCTGCACTATACTCTGTCTCCCTTGATGGTCCCAGGGACCTCTGCTCCTGGACTGCAAAATCAACCACTCCCCTCCTTTTGTTACAAAACATCTACCTTTACATTTCCGACCCTCACAGTCAGTCCTGATAGCAATTATTCACTATTGAACCATGAGAGTCTTATCCCCATCTCCTTTAATCAGCCCCATCCAGACAGGTTGGAAACCACTCAGTGGAGATTCTACCTTCCCCCACATCCTCTGGGACTAGGCTCCCTCTTGAAAGCTTGTAAGCCAGTCACTTCTTGCCATTGTAGGTGCCCCCCCCCCCCATTTTGGGTAGCCAATGTCTAAGTTGCCCATCCCTGTCAACCCTGTATACCGAGGGGGTGGGAATGATCCTCGCTGTAAAGATTTGTTCCCTCTTTTGAACTACTACATCTATAAGTATAGGTCAAGTTCATCAAATTGTAGCGGATTACTCTTCCCCACCCCCTCCGAAATGTGAGCTCATTTTGACAGGAGGTATCCTTTGCCCATTCTAGGAAGAGTTTGCCAAACCAATGAATAGTATATATAAGATCCCAGGGGAGTGTTTGAAACCACCTCAGAAAACAATTATGTTTAAGGGCTCTCGAAGCTCCCTGAAGTACACAGACACACAATGCCATCTATGTCTACTGTTCAGAGGGGTGTACTGTTGAATACACAAATAAAATCACTGCCATCATTTCATTCAAGTGGTCTATGCAAAAGAACACTTTATTAACCTGGTTTGAAAAGTGGACAATTTGAAAGACCTGCAGATTTAAACCTTTTCACTCAGATAGGCCAAATCCTCAAGTGGTACTTACCAGGAAGGTTTTCTTTTACCCACTTGGAACGAGGTGTGTGTGTGGGGTGTTCTTACAGATCCTGGCCAGCCAAGGCTCACCACAAAGCTAACAGTTTCTCTAGAAACAGCTGTAGGGCATAAACGGTGGCCTCTGGATGGAGGCGCTTCCTGGGACAGCCAGACTGCCCAGATGGCCCTTCCAGAACCAGGAGATGCAGATTGTCCTGAAGTAGAGGGTAAAAATAGTCTTGTGTGGGTGGCAGCTGGGCTTGGAATAACCAGCTTTCTTGTCTCTAGACTAGGAGGAGGCACCCAGCCTATAGGCACCTCCTTCGGTTCCTATGCCCCTTCCAAGCCCCGAGCTGGCCCTTTCCCCTAACGTTATAGCATCCAATCCCCCACCAAGTGTTTGAAAGAGCTTGGCCTTTGTTGCCAACCACTTACGAGCTTAAATCCTGGCTCTGTCAGCTGTCAACTCTGCGTCTCTGGGCAAGATTTTTCTCCTTTCTGAGCTTCTATTTTCTCATCTGTCTAATGGGGGAGGGTTTGCTGTGAAGATTAAATCACAATACCAGCTGTCCTGTCTCACTCAGCAGCCTCGCTCTCCATCCCTCTTCTTCTTACCAGTGGCTCACCTTCAAGCACCTTCTTCAAGAGTGGCTCTGAGGCAAGCCAGGTCCATGTTGTAATGACACTCAAGAAACCCTATTGAGAGGGTCACCTGGCAAGGAACTGAGGCCTCCAGACAACATCCACGTGAGGGAGTCATCTTGGGTCCTCCACCCCCAGTCAAGTCTTCAGATGACCCCAGCCCTGTGAACACCCTGAATGCAACTCACAAGAGAGTCTGAGGCAGAGCCAACCAGCCAAGCTGCTCCTGAATTCCTGACCTTCAGAAACAGTGCGAGATAATGTTTGTTTGAAGTTGTTAAGTTTGGGGGCATTTTGTTCTGCAGCAATAGAAAATGAATACACTTACCTTTCAGTTTATTGTGAAACTTAGGAGTTCATGCATATTATAATATACGGGCAGTCTCTGGGTTACAAATGGTCCAATTGACAGACAACTCCTACTTGCCCTTTGTTGTTGTTGTTGTTATGTGCCATGGAGTCGGTTCCGACTCATAGCGACCCTGTACAGGGTTTC